AGAGAGAGAGAGAGAGAGAGAGAGAGAGAGAGAGAGAGAGAGAGAGAGAGAGAGAGTTGGCTTGATATAAGGCTGTGGCATGGCGTCGCCTGCCCTGGGCTCAGCACTATACAGTTACCCATGGCAGCCTGTTAGCTAGACCCGCGATGTTTGCTGTGTGTATATACCGGCGCCGATATTGCGTGCTTGGGCGCGAATTTCTGCAGGCTGATCGCCTTGTACGAGAACAGTCGAGCACTGCGGGAGCGTTAAACGCGCAGAAAACGCACCACAATTAAACCGACGCTTGCCCCCGACGCCGTCGGCGGCGCTAATGTCTCGTAAAGTCGCCGTCGTCGGCGTTAATGTCTCGTAAAGTCGTCGGCGGCGCTGGTGCTCTTTGGAGAGTGGCATGACGCTGCGATTTCTCTGAACGAAGACGCGAGACTCTAGGTGTCGAATGCTGCATGTCGTGGTTTTGTTCTCCGCTCTTCGTTTTCTCCTTTTCGTCGCCTTCTTTTTTTTTTCCTTTTCTTCTTCTTTTTATTTTCTTAGTGTTTTTCTTTCCATTCTCCTCCTTTTCCCCCTCCTCCCGCTCCTTCTCCCCCTCCTCCTCTCCCTCCTCGTCCTGCTTCTTTTCCTCCTACTTGTCGCCCTCCTACTTCTCTTCCTCTTCCTCTTCTTCTTCTTCCTCTTCTTCTTCTTCTTCTTCTTCTACTTCTTCTTCCTCTTCTTCTTTCTCCTCTTCTTGTTCCCCTCCTTTTTTTCATCGTCTTCTTCTTCATCATCTTTCCTCGCACGCTGACGCGTGTTAGTATTTGCACGTTCGACGCGCCATCAAAGCTCGTTGATGTAGCGTGAATGCTGCTGGTGTGGCGTGAAGGCAGCCATGTAACGTGCGAGCTTTCACTATGCCCGCATCAGTCGCCGCCAACGACGTGTGAGTCTCCATAGAGCCTTTCAGCGCGCGACTCCGTAATTTATGTAAAACGTTCGGGAAATTTCACGCAGAGGCACCTGACTGTTAGGACGCGGTAAGATTTCCGCACGCGTGACCGCTTGAGATTAATAGAGAAATACTGTCATCCGACGGTATATATATATATAATATAGAGAGAGGTTTGGGGTGCCGGTGAGTGTAGCTGTCCGCTGTCAGAGTTTAGTACATATATGGCACCGCGTACAGTAACTCGTCACCTGGACATAGAAATGATTAGATTCGCTTAGAAGGCACCCTCACGCAAGCCTCGCTGTCACTTCTATT